GATATAGATAGAGATCTATATATATATATATATATATATATATATATATATATATATATATATATATATATATATATATATATATATATATATATATATATATATATATATATATATATATATATATATATATATATATATATATATATATATATATATATATATGGGATAATTAGTAAAAAACTCCCAATTCATTTACTTATATTAAGGTGGATATAACCTCATTTTTATTATTAGTGACAACCCGTTTAATTATTTAATTAAATTAATATTAATACAATTATTAAGTGTTATACCTATATTATCCTTAATTTTGCAAATCTTATATTTACAAACTCTAGCCATATTGTATGCAACAAATCGCCATTCTCAAATCCCCACAAACCACCATTCTCCAATCCCCATCACCTCTTCTCTTCTTTTCTGGAACCGAAACTCAGTAGTATCGGCTGCGATGGCGGCGGCGGTGAAGGTGACGAAGGCGGCGCTACATCTCAACAACGACGAGGAAGACCCCTTTCTCTTCTTTCTCGAATTGGGAATCCGACGGATGTGGGGCAAGGAGAGATGAAGCCGCTCCAGATCTCGACAACAACAAGGCGACGCCGCTAAATCTAGGGCGGACGGCGGCCCTCCGGTCTCCCCCCTTTCTTTCTGATGGATGAGCAGATCTGCTGGTATTTTTTTCTTTTTTTTTTGTTCTTTCGATTTTTGGAAGTATTCCTGGAATTCTCGTCGGAAGACCGCCTCCACCACCGGTGTAATGGAATAGATTGACCTCGAGGAGGAGGTATTGTTTGGGAGGCTCGTTTGTTGAAATTGTATTCGTGTTACTAAAAAAGATGTAGTTGTTTTCGTTACGGTTGTAGTTGGTTTTAATAATAGTCGTTTTTGTTGGAATTTTGGTGTGTTTTTTTGCTTTTGCTTTTGTGGATTTCAATAATTTGTAGTTGATTCAATATAGTTGTTTTCGTATAGCAATATAGTTGTTTTTCACAACAATATTATTGTTTTCATTACTTTTTAGTTAGTTTGAATAAATAGTTGATTTAACAAATAGTTGTTTTGGAGATGTTTTGATTAAATAATTAGTTAATCTTACAATGGAAATAATATAATATATAATTAATTTAATAAATTGTAAAACTGATGTATCATTGTTTTAATACTAATTGTTTATAGTCATTTTATTGGCATATAGTTGTTTTAACTGAAAACTAAAATATTATAGAAAAGAAATATTTAAAGAAAAATATTAAAAAAATTAAAAAAAAAAGTTTCTTTTAAAAAAATATTATTTTTTAAAGAAGAAATAAATACAAAAACGAAAATTAAAATTAAAATAAAAAAAATAAAAAAAATACATCAAACTAGTGGATATTGGTAGTGAATAGTGGGAGGGTAAATTTGAGAATAAAAAAAAAGAATGGGTTTCTCACTAATAAAGGAAAAGGAGCTGAACTCATCCTTACTAAAATAATGTGAGAGGGGGTTCTCACTAATAGCCCATATATATATATATTATCATTATTAACTAAATGGTTAATAGTCTATAATAATAAATATTTCTAGTATTTAAATAGAAACAAATCTATATTACTTAAATAATTCATAACATTATAAAATTTTATAATAATAGTAATAGAAAAATTAAAAATATATATAACTAGAGTTAATTATTTATTTTATAATTTTTTTATTTTCCTATAAATAATTTTTAATAAAAAATTAGATGATTTTAATAAAAAAAATTAAGTAATAATAAAAAAAATTAAATGAGCTCGAACTCGAGCTCGCCAAAATTGGCTCGAACTCGGTGACATGGACTCAAGCTCGAGCTGGCCAAAAGAGCCGAGCTCGTCTCGTTCCCACCCCTAATTATAATGCATGAGACATATGATTAAGAAAAAAAAAGTTGTTAAACACCCAATATCACCACTGGAAGAAAAAAAATTAAAGAAAAATAAAACAACGATTGATAAAAACTAGGGCTGATGCGGTACAATTCCACGTCACATTATGCAATTCCTCCCTCACACTTGTTGATTTCCTTGGGTAGGCATTATCTGCATGGTATCATCACAAAAAGTCGTTAAGACGCTCAAGTCAGCTTTGTACTTTGTAAAATAGAAGAGTTAAGAGTTACGAACTGCGTACCTTCGATATAAATCAACAAAACATAAAGTAAACTAATATTCGGTTCAAACAGGAGCCAAACTCTCAATGAATTGATAACAAAACTTAGTCTCGAATTGGAACTCATCCTCTTTATAAATCGTACTACTTGCGAAATTACACAAAACCTCAAATCTCTTATCGAAAAACCAGTAACGAACAATCGTCCCCGGTGCATGGAGCAAAACCGAAGAATCTTCTTCCTTGTCGCCCCTCGCGATTATTCCTACCACCCGAAGGCACCCAATAGCCTTCGACACCGGGTTCAAGTCGGCCCGGTATTTCTCGACCCAACCCGTGTTACGATCCGGCGACAACTCGTATACAATCAAATACTTGTTTTCGTAACCGAAATACGTGCGGACGCAATGCGCGTTTCCATCCGATTCCACGATGTAGTTATTGTTGCCGGACGACGAATCTGGTTCGCCCCGAGGAAACTTGATGACACTCATCTCTTCCAAATGCCGGGTTTGGATGTCGAAGCGGTATGATTTCGAACCGGGTCGGATCCAATACACCCCATCGTTACACGAAATGCCGGCCCAGTATTGAAGGTCGTGAATCGGAGTGTAGTTGATCTCTACGCCTGTGATATGCTGCCACGTGTCGAGCTCTGAGTGGTAGATCTCGATCCAGAGAGTTGAGCAGAAATTAGGTCTCCTCGTACATATGAGTTTGTAATAAGGGGAAATCGAAGGGTCGAATGAAAGTGACAGCCCCCAAATCCATGCCAGCCGGCCTTCGTATTCGTCGAATTCAACCTTCCGTGATTTTCGCGTGGTGGGGTTGTACACGCGGTAGTGCACGCGCGGGAACCCCAATCGCGGGTTTCCGCACTCGAGCAGCAGAAGGCCGTGGCTTGATTGGAGGATTTTGGTGTGCGGGTGTTCGAAGGTGTACGGGAGGAAAACCCTGGTGTTGGGGTTGAAGGAGAAGTACTCCGGCGGCTGGGCGGCGGTGGCGAGGATGAAACTGGGGAGGTTTTTGCCGCGGCGGCGGCGGTAGTGGTGGTTGGCGGCGAAGTGAGGGGAAGAGATGAGAGACTGCCAGTGTTTGCTTACTGACTTGAATCTCAAGAGGGATTTCTCCGGGAGGCGGAGGAGGATTAATCCAGTCAGCAAATTGTCGTTTTCGGCGATTAACTCCGCCGCCGTTTGGGGGGAACGTGATCCCTTGGCATCCATCTTTTCTGTAGGGTTCTTATGAGCTATTTGTGTATATAATTTTTTTTTTACATACAAATCCACACGTGAGTAAAGATTTGTAAAAAACTAAAATAACAACTCATATTTTAGTCAGTGCCGGTCCGGTGTATTTGGGGGCCCGGGGCGAGAATATAATTGTTCGGTAGTTCGGTGGCAACGTCCGGATTTTTTTTTTCCGCATTAATAAATAATATAAAAAATAAAAAAATAATAAGAGTAAAAAAATTTGAAAAAAACTAGAGAATAATTTTTTTTAACAATAAAACATTTTTGCACATAAAAATATATATATAATATATATAATAAAAAATTGAAAATGTGGGCCCCTTATGAAATTGGGTCCTGCTCGCCCCACCCCAGGGCCGGCCCTGATTTTAGTATGATTCAATTTCATCATTTAGTTTAATTTAACTTTAATTGGATCTAAATTTTACAAATTCTTTAATTTTGACACAAAATATAATATTATGGATAATTTCGTCCATCGTCGTTGGCTTTTTTTCTTTGCTTCCTGATTTTCTAGCCACCGGTTTTCGGCATTGATCGGCGGTCAACGCCGATCTCAAGTATTGACTTTTTTGAATTTTTTTTGAGTATATTCAAGTTCATTACAAAGGGGGAGTATGGGAGGGGGGACTCGAACCCTAAACCCTTAACAGCCCGCGTTTAAACAGCAATATTGTTGTGGTTGACAGTAATATTAACTATATTACTGTTAAACACAATAAAATTAACTATACTACAGTTTAACACAGTAATATTGCTATATTAATCTCTAACACAGTAATATTAACACAACAAAAGTCATTATTATTGTGTAATTGAGTAATATTAATATGTTGACCGTTCAACAAAGGTAAACATAATAAAAAGCCAAAAGAATTAATATTACTGTGGTTGACAATAATATTACTATAACAACAGTAATATTACAGTCAACCACAGTAATATTATTGTGTTTACAGTAATATTACAGTCAACCACAGTAATATTATTGTGTTTATAGTAATATTACAATAATAGACAATAATATTATTATGTTACTCCCTGAATAACTCAAACAAAACAAAAAACCCAAAATAATAATAGAGTTAATAGCATAGACCCCCTGTGTAATTTCGAATTGTCATAAAACACCTTGTGTTAAAATAATTAGCAAATACCTCCCTATAATATGTTTTACGTAGCACACAACCACTTTCATCAAATTTGGATGTTGACTTCAATGAAATAACGAAACTGCCCCTAGTAATTCTTTAATAAGATTTCATTTAACAAACATTAAAAATTGTGAATAATATACATTAAAAAAAATTGTTGCAAACCCAGCCACATTCTTTACCAGGCATTAATTGCCGTCGCACCACCACCACCATATCCATCCCCTAATCCAACCTACCCCAACCCTTTCTTTTTTTCAGCAGTGCACCGGCACGACTACACCAATGCCATCACGTTGTGACGATGTCGATTTTGATTTCTCTTGATGGAAAAGTCGGAAAGAAATAAAAAACCCAAACTAAATATCTCTAAATCCCTTCGCCGGAGTATTATTGAGGCGAGTTTTGCTTCGATTTGTTTGGATTTGTGTCTATCTATTGGTAATTTGGATCCTCAGGTGTTGTGAAGGAAGCACCAGAGGGATGTTGGTTTTCTTGTGGTGGAATTTGAGCGCAATGATAGGGTGCTGGCGAGAATTATGATGAGGTGAAAGGAGATACAATGGAAGGGGCAGTCCTAGAATGCAGGGGAAGTGGTCAGGGGGCGGCGTAGTGGAGGTGAGGGGTCATAGGAGAGCTGAGGTTTGATATTACGGTGGTGATTTCAGGTGTAGTGAAGAAGAGGGCTTTTCATAAAATATGAGGGACTGAAGTAAATTTGAAAAACTTTATTTTAGGCTTATAGAAATTTTGGGGGTGGATCTATAATTTTTTAAATTTTTAAAAGGGTATTTAAATCTTTGTCGATGGAAAAATACAACCCAGCATCACAACCCAGCGCATGGGATGCACGATAAGCTGTTAGGGACTTTATTAGCTTTGACTAAATTTCATGGGGGGTTCTTGCTAATATTTATAATATGAGGACTTTTTTTAGCAATTAGAGATTACACAAGGGTGGTTCTTGCAAAAAACTCAATAATAATAATATTGATGTGGTTGACAGTAATATTATTGTGTTTACAGTTATTATTATCAACGACAGTAATATAGCTACGTTGACTTGTCAACAAATCAAATAAAATGAAAAAAAAATCCAAAAAAAATAAGGGTAAATTACAATCACCCCCTGATGTATAGTCAAATTACGAAAAGCCCCCTCTTGTTTGGATAATTACAACCACCCCCTCAACTCATCAAATTTAGTGGAATCTTTGAGATTATATAGAATATTATCACTCTTGTACCCGTTTTATCTTATTCGAACTCTACGTTTTGAAGTAAAATGATCATAATATGTGTTTTTTGGTTTGTATATATCAAATTGTGGTGCATCAGAAACTGTATTTTTATACAAAACGAGTACAAACTAGAGCACATTTCACAGAATCTAGATGATTATGTTGAATTTGACACCATAAGGGTGGAGGTGTAATAAAAAAATCATAGTTGATGGGGGTAGATGTAATTATCCAAACAAGAGGGTTTTTTTCGTAAATTAACCATGCCTCAGGGGGTGTTTGTAATTTACCCAAAAAATAATAATATTGTAATTGACTCTAATTGTACGGTCAACGACAGTACAAGTACATAAATGTACTGTCAACGACAGTACAATTACGTTAATGTACTGTTAGTTAAAATATAATTACTATTAATGACAGTACAATTACGGTCAACGTTTAGCGGCGAGCGTTAAAAAATGGATAAAAAATTTATGAGAAAAAAACCCCTAAAAAAAGGCAACACCGGAGACAGGCGGTCAACGCCGGAATCCGGCGGCAAAAAAACAGACCAGCAAAAAAAAAAGTCAACGCCAGAATCCTGCGGCGGAAAAAACATACCCGAAAAAAAATCGAAATTGGATTTTTGTTGTCAAAATTGATTAAATTGAGGTTACAATTGAGAATTGGGTATAAAGGGTTAGGGGTAATTTTTTCACATACATGATTTTTTCTTTAATTATAACAAATATTAAAGGGATAAATTTATTGGCGAAAGAGATATGGCCCCTAAATCTAGAATAATAAAAATGATTGGTTAGAGACTTATCCACAAAAACTATCACAAGGAATGAAGTGCATTGCTACTTTTATTCAAGTCATTTAAGGAATATATTTTTTTTTTTTCCTAGAAGTCTATTGAGTGTTGATGCTAATTTGGACGAAAATACCCTCGGTTTTTTTTTCTTTTTCCTAGCTAGGTTAATTTTACTATATTGATAAATGTTAGTATGTTATTTTGACCTTGATATTTTTAACAAGCTAGGTCAACATACGAAATTTGTATATCATTTTGTAGGCTTTCTAACTCAATTTGAATCGTTATAATCAAAGCTCTTTTGATTATTTGGCAAAACTTTATAATTTTACCTCCAATTTCAACACTAATGTTATAGTTACGATATTTTGAAACTCATGCAATTTGAATCTTAAATTTGTATATTATATAGTTATGATATAATTATAAGGATCAAACCTTAAATTTGTATGTGTGTGATCGTATCTCATAAAAACCGAATTTATTGGTCCATGCTCGGCTTTTGCCAAAAATCGAGCCGAACTGATTGATGCTCATTGATCTTAACTAACATTATGCGCACATTTATTTGTATGTGCGTGATTGTGTGTAAATATACAATATAAAACTAACTACCTCGTATATTTTACCGAATATAACATCTAAAAAATCAAACCTTTCGAACCCGGACGCCGACCCTAAACACCATATAAAGTATTTTACATGAAACAATTAAAATTTAATTGGAGAAATTAACCAACAAAAAAGTTACGCATGAACATGCAAAAAAGAATCGTACGAAAATTCGTTATTCAAACACGAGCCAAACTCTCGACGAACTGATAACAAAAATGCCCGCGAAACTGCAACCGGTCACCTTCTTTGTAAATCTCACTCCTATTTCTAAAATCAACCAAAACCTCGAAACTGCCATCGGAAAACGTGTAGCGTATAATCCTCCCCGGAGAGTGAAGCAGCACCGACGAATCTCCTTCTCTCTCCCCCCGAACAATCCCGACTAACTCGACTGGATCGTTCTTCTCCGCCAATACAGACGAAATTGGACCCAAATCGACCCGGTACTTATCGTACCAACCCGAATTATCCTCCGACAACTCGTACACGAACATGGATTTGAATTCGGGCCCCATGTAGGTGCAGAGAATATGCGCGTGCCCGTTCGATTCCATCACGTAGTTCTTGTTCGTTTCGCCGTTTCGTCTCCACGGAGTTTTAATCCGGGGAAGGTTGTTAATCATTTTATCCTCGACTTCGGTTTGGAGATTGTAGTAATAGGATCTCGAAGTCGGTCGGATCCAATATATACAATCGTTCCGGTAAATCCCACTCGAGAATTTGATTTTAATCGGAGTGAAGTGCAGTCGGTAATTCCACGTTCCGGATTGCGAATCGTAAATGTCGATTGTGGGGTTGGAGTATTCCCAATTCTTACCGGATCGGACGCAGACGATTTTGTAGTGGGGCGATCTCGACGGGTCGAAAACCAAGCAGACGCCGGAGATAGCCGCCTTGTTCTTTCTCTTGGCGTCGATCAGAGTTCTCGACCACCGCGTGGTGGGGTTGTAGACGGCGTAGTGTTTCTGGCCGTACTTCGATTTTCGGCACTCGAGGAGCATTAGGCCGTTGGTTGATTGCAGGATCCTCGTGTGTCGGTAACGGTGATAGAATTTTTGGCGGCGGAGGGATTTGGTGGCGGGGTTGAAGTAGAAGAATTTGTGCGAATTTGACCGGAAGATGAAGGAAGGCGGGGAATTGCCGCCGCCGCGGTGGGTGGTGTGTTGGCGGACGAAAGAGGGGGCGGAGATGAGGGTTTGCCAGTGTTTGCTTACTGACTTGAATCGGAGGAGGGATGTGGCCGGGAGGTGGAGGAGGATTAATTCCGTCAGTAGATCGTCGTTGCCGGCGATTATCTCCGCCGATCGCCGGGAATGTGGTCTTTTGGGATCCATTTTTTCTTTGTTAGGGTTTGTGAAAAGATGTGCTGAGAATTTACAAATGGCTAATGAATATTGGGAGTGATTCGTATTTCTTTAATTATATATATATATATATATATATATATATATATATATATATATATATATATATATATATATATATATATATATATATATATATATATATATATATATATATATATATATATATATATATATATATATATATATATATATATATATATATATATATATATATATATATATATATATATCTTTTTATCGATGATTTATTTTTTTGAATTTGAGGTAGCAAATCTGAAGCTGGATTGCATTTTTCAAAAATTTCTGTAATATACGGAGGTGGGTTTGTGCCGTTGCGCGCAATTAGGAACTATTTTGAATTTTTTTGAATTTCTGTTTGGGTAAATAGCACTTAAGCTCTTGTAGTTCGGATATTTTGTACTTATGGTATGAAATTAGGCACTTAACTCTCTTGAGAAACCATAATTTTGCACAAGGGAATTATGTGTCTAATTTCATACCATAAGAGGGCCATGCGCAAAATATCGCAACTACAAGGGGGTTAAGTGCCATTTACCCTTTCTGTTTTCGAAATGTAGAATTTTGGGAGTTTATCGCATTCACTATCCTGTGAATTTCGAAACTGCGCATTTTTCCCATGTTATAAACAAATTAGCAAATATCCCCCAATACTTATTTTTAGGATGCTCACTCGACTCATTTACCTTATGCCAGTTGACCAATCATGAAAAGACGAAAATGACCTTCGGTGATTAAGATAGCCATTGTTTTTACTGGCCCATTTCACTCGTTCATCTTCTTCCCATTAGCAGAACAGTGGAGACATCACCATCACCACTATCTCTGCTCCGCCGCGGCCACACTACCACCAGCACCACCTCTACTCTTCGAGGCCGCACTACCACCAGCACCACATGGTTCAAATCCGCCACCACCTTCTCATCCACTATTCACGCCGCCTATATATGCTCCAACCCTATGTCGAACAACCCAATTATGTCATCGTACTCAAGAGCGAGTCCACTCTTGAGCAAGGGTGGACTCAAGCCCACCATCAATTATTTTTTCTCACTATATTATATCTATATATTTATTTAGCCCACTCGAAATTAAAATTAACGCAAAAAGGTCCTAATTTCCATTATATTATTGTTGAGTTCACCAAATATTTATTGTTTAGTAACACCTCTCTCTCTCTCTCTCTCTCTCTCTCTCTCTCTCTCTCTCTCTCTCTCTCTCTCTCTCTCTCTCTCTCTCTCTCTCTCTCTCTCTCTCTCTCTCTCCTTCAATCCTTGAATTGTTAGATGCAGTGATATAAGTACTTCAAACTTATACAATGAATAGTAGAATTCGTTGTTAAAAAGAATTGAAGCGAATTTGTTATGAAATTGTTGCTCGATTTGTTGATTTCATATATATATTTTATATAATACATGGATATATATATTTTATCAATACATGTTAGCATCTTTAATGGAGAATATTCTGCTGGAAAATGGGATGAACGAGTGCTTGAGTATTTTGAACAACTGTTTAAGAAAATTCGGTAACCGCTTTTGAATAAGTTATCTTAAGTTTGACCTGATTATGCCTATTTATCCAAATCGAATATGTTTTGATCATATAATTAAGAAAAGCCATTAATTTATGTAAGTTTTCGCGGTTAATAGATTATTGGCTAAGTTGTTTGTCGTTAGCTATCACAAAGTGCTCGATTTTTTATTTTTTTTTCATTTGTAAATATGAAGATGTTCTTCAAGATGTGAATTGACATCTATTGTTCATCTGTTTTGCTTTGTTTGTTCTCTGTGATAATAGGTTTTGATTTTTTGTATATGGACCAAGATCTTGGACACAATGGATAACTGTTTCAGTGAATAATATAAATATTATATAACAAATTATATATTTGTTATATGAATTCATGGTATGTTTCCTCTTGAAGAAGATTCATTGTTTTTTTCCTCTTGAAATCTTTTCCATCGTGTGCTAATTTGATACATTTGCAGTCTAGGAGGATTAATGTATTCATTACACACTATGAGGGTGCATTTGGATGGAGGGATTTGGGGAGGGATTTGATTTGGGGAATGGATTTGAAATGACTCCAATTTTGGAGTCATTTGAAATCCACCACTATTGCTCCAAAAACAACTAAAAAGGAGGGGTGGGGATTTGAAATCCATCTCCAAATCCCTCAATCCAAACAAGTCCAAGGGATTTGTTATTATGAATTTGAAATCCCTCCCCCAAATCCCTCCATCCAAATGCACCATGATTGTTCATAACCTTATTCACTATCATTTACAAGTTCTTGAATCTTTGGTATATGCACTTGTTGATCAGATGTTCTTTCATTTTCTTTAGTAAGTTTTATAGTGTGTTAATCATTTGTTTTTGTTATTCCTGGAGAATGATGCTGATGGCAATATGTTACATGCTTTTGAAGACTGAAGTTGGTTGGTATCGTGTTTTTATGAAGGTTAATGATCATGTTTTTATTTACCTTTTGAATAGTTAAGTAATTTTTTGAATCATCTCTTGCAGGTACGTTCTAAAGAAAATTCGTCTCTCTAAGGAGACAGAATTTCAAGAACAAAGAGTGCCACGAGGTTATTTTTAAATACTTGCGTTCTTGAGTGTTCCGGAATTACGTAATTTTTTTTTTCGAGTTTGAACTATTTTGCTAGTGGACAAACATATTGTTCAATGAATAATGATTGTCCAAGAGTTAGTTCTAATGTAGGCCTGTCTATGTTTGGAGACAAGGTTAATTCCAATGCTATGCCATTGGTATATAGTTGAATATAAAGATGTTTGGGTCGACAAGGTATTATGTTGTTTCGTTAATCTTGATTTTCGTGTTTGAAAGATTTTTTAAATTTCTGATATATTTTCTGCAGGCAGGGCCGGTTCTGAGGGGAGGCGAAGTAGGCGGTCGCCTAGGGCCCCCGATTTTTTTCAAAAATTTGGGGACCCCAAATTATTTTATATACACTTTATATATTAGTAATTATTTTTAAAAATTTATTATATATAATATTTTGGAACATTGGTTCTAAAATAAATTTAAACTAAAGATCAATAGATATTTTTTTATAATTTCTTGACCTTGGGGCCCCTAAATATTAATTTATAATGTCTTAATTACTTATTTTTATTCTAAAATAAGAATCAATATTTATTAATGTATTCAAGTTTATAAATATTTTTGAAGTCTATTGCTATAAAAACTATAAGTCACGGCAGGAAGTGAACCAGCAAATCATATTGTTAATTTTGAATTTTTGTCCATATTTTTAATTACTTTATATTCATACATTTCAAAAAATATTATGGGGCACTGCCCCCGAACCCTCAGAATCTTTATTTTCTTCATTTAAAAAAAATATATAATTTTTTTTTACTACATTCAATTTCGAACACTATTAATAAAAAAAAATGGTTCATCATATAGGGGCCCATGTTTTCAATTGTTCTTTAAACCTCGCCTAGGGCCCCCGAATTCCCAGGAACGGGCCTGTCTGCAGGGAAATAATATTTTTTAATTTCGGCTAAATATAAATTGTTTATATTTGTTGATCTTTTTATTTTCAATTTACAGATTCTAAAGTACAAAGAATGTTGGTAGGAGAAAGGATATCGCTCGACTGAAGGAAGGACGGTGTCTATATATTATGTAGTTTATTTTTTTAATGTAAGTTTCAATTTGATTTTATTGACTCATGTATTTTGTATGTGTAATTGTACGATATATTGCAATACAATTTTATTTTCGAAATCATTGTTTAGTTCTGTGGAATTGTATTATTAGTTTATATAATTTAAGTATGAATAATATAAATATTATATAACAAATTATATATTTGTTATTATTATTTTTTTTTGTGACGAAATAATTGTCTCAATAGATATTATGTCTCATGTGACAAAATAATTTGTCACAAGAAGTAAGTGAGAAGATTACTTCATGTGACGAAAAATATTTTTAGTGACGAACAAATTTTGTGACGACCACTTCGTCACAACAATAAAACATTATGTGACGAATTTTTCCTTTGTCACAATATGTTGTGACGAAAACTTCAGTTTGTCACATAACACCTTTCGCGATGGGACCTACGCGATGACCCCTGTGACGAAAAATTTTGTCACCTAAATTTTTTTGCGACGAAATATTGAGTTTTTGCGACGAGTGTTTGCGTCACATAAACCAGTTTCTTTTGTAGTGTTTTCAAAAGAAGTAATAGTTTACTAAATAAAAAGAAGTCCTACATCTTTTTTCGAGGGTGCTGCCTGCGAACATTTAAAAATTTAAGCCCACCCTGCAATTAATTTCTAGAATCGCGCAGTATCATTTAATTTGTATTGATTGCTTGTTTTGTAGTCGAATTTAGATAGATGGTTGTTTCTTGAATTTGAGTCCTAGTTTGTTCCGGCAGTTTGGCTCATCAGCAAAGATGAATGTGGGGTGGGGAGGGGGATTGGTGCTAGCGGCGGAATAGGGGTTCATAGCTAGGGTTAAGATTTTAATCAAGTTCTGTAAACTTGCAATTTAATCCCTTAAGTTTCTGCAATGTTTTCACAAATTCAGTTTAGTCCTTTTAGCTTTAAAAATTGTCTATTCAAGGACTGGACTTTTCTTATATCAAAAACACATGAAGGATTTTTGCCTTCGACTAATAAGTACAAACGGTATTTACTGATTTTTTTTACGATACGGGGGAATCGTGCAGTTGCGAGTTTCATAGAGATAATAAATGCAATAAGCTCAAAATTTATGGAGGCCATTCATTTATCATGTTCGAAAAATCAGAACATCCAAACTATTGTCATTTTGAATCAGAAATCAGAAACTTATGTTCTTAAACCCTAGAAAAACTTTTAACCTGTTCTTTGAAATTTGATATTAACAAATAATTGTTTAAATTAAAATATTTAAACCCGATCTGTTGTCGTGACATCGTTTACGCCAAAATAATACAACTAACTCTATTAATTGATTTGAATCTCAACGCCAACTTATCCATCTAACTGTTTTGTCGATATAGACCGAAATTAATTGATTCCTTGTTTGGCGAGTAGTTAATCTATAAATTCTTATTTTTTCGCATCAAATATTAGTTGAAATCCCCAATCGAAAACTACGGACCAGTACAAATAGTAGTTTTTGTACCATTGCGATTAATTTTGTAAGCAATGACTAAAACGAAAAGAAAAAAAACGATTTACATGTCAAAAAAATTCATCAAATCCCGACGATTCGTAGTTAATTAATTTGGAAACTACGTTAATTATTATTATAGTTTTGATAATCCCCCATATTGAATAATACATAAAGATATATATCTTTGAAATTTATTTATTTTTAGGTTAAAAGATGGCCAAGTGAGGAAGGAAATCTATTCAATAAATTTTCAGCCATAATGTTACATATTGTGACTAAATTTCTTCTACAAAATTAATTAATTTAATTAATAATAAAATAAAAATAATAAGTAGAGAATATTAGAAATAGAAGTAATGTTCACCAACTGTCCTAAATAATAAAAAGGAAATAAATAAATAACATCCAAGACACAATTGTATAAAAATCCAGTCTTGGTTGGACTTTTTGCATGGTAATAAAAATTAAAAGTTCATAAAAAAAATTGGTAAGTAGAGGCAATGGCAAATCCATGAATGTTATTTCCTCGACATAAAAAATAGTAATTAGAAGTTGCACAAAAAAATTTAAATTTTTTTTCCTTAATAGCCATTCATTTGAATATCCAATTGGATTCTTGATATTTACAATCATAAAGTGTGACATTACAAACTTTCTCCAACAAGAGGTTCACTAGCCCTATAAATATTGCACCACCATTTTCCAATGTTTCATCAAATCAAAAAAACAAACAAGAGCAAAAGTTATTATACACCCCCACCCCACCCTACCCTACCCTACCCTAATGGCTTTGGTAACACACCAAACCCTAAAGAAGACATACTACTACAACTTCTTCCCCACCAAAGGTGATGAAGATTCGGCCGCCGTCGCCGCCAATCCCCACCCGTTGGGGTCCCGCCGCAACCGAATGCTGGTCGAGATGCGGGATCTGTACCCCCCGCCGGTGGTGGACCCCAACCACCCCTGGCAGATCAAGAAAACCCTGAATCACTACGAAATCTCATCTGGCAAGATTGTAATTTCCTTTAACGACACGTTCGAGCATATTCTCCGGTATTGGAACTTCTGCATGGCTAACCACATAGCCATTTTAGGCCATAGGGTTGCGGTGGCCGTGTGGGATGTGACGAACGAGAAAAAACCTAAAAAGTACGATGGGAACGAGGTCTATTTCCAGATAACTCCGAGTGAGAATTGCATTCTCACTTGCGTGGGGGTTATGAGAGATAGGAACTTCAAGATTGATGACTACATTGGTCTCTATTGGGATCCGAAGGAATCCAACTTTCGTATCAAATTGTTCTACTCGTTTACTCGATGATGTTTTTTTTATTTTTCACTTGGTGTTTGATGTAATCGAAGTCATTTTTCGAAATGATTTGAATTTGTTTTCCCATTATTCCAATTGAGTGTAGCAATTCACATACATTGAAAGAGCAAGGATACAACTATTGTTTGTTATTTGTAATAAATATGTTTTGCTATGAAAAATTTCCATATATGGTTGTCATTTTCAATAATAATGAAGATCCTAAAGAAATGATTTTGATTCATGTAAATGATATTTACCATTTTTATTATTTTTCTATGTACTTTTTTTCCAAAATTTTCAAAATTCAAACAAAACGAGATGCATTTTAAGAAATTTTATCGCTCGTTATAGGCTGTACATGAGTTGTAAAAGTAAAGTATTTTACAATAAATTCTTTCGAAAAAAAGAGGTTCTTGACATTAAATTCACGCGCAAAATATAATTTTCACAATAAATACGAACAAATACGATTTCCTAAAAAACACAACTTGGAAAATAAATGATTTCCTAAAAATTGACGCTCGTCCAATCACATCGTATTGAATCGCAACTTAATTTTTTGGCTGTCGTATTTGGTACTGCATCTCGTATTTCATGATGATATACACGTCGTGCATGTACTCATCAATTTACGAATCTATCCTTTTATTTTATTTAAGGGAGATTATTAACTTATCGCGCGAGGTTATGTCGTTATATTATTTTTTTTAGTTAAATTTTAATTTTAATTAGTTATCTTATAAAAGGATAAACAACAGTTAACCCCTTGTGGTTTGACTGTTTTGCATATTACCCATATCTGGTTCGATTATAAGCACACAACTTCCTCAAGGTTTGACTGGTTCTATTACATTCATACCTGATGTTTGTGGATTTCTTGATTTCTGTAAATTATTTGAAGTAAATTCATAATGCATTTGATTTTGAATTTAGAATTTGTGATTCTATCTTTTCCATCAAGATTTTCAGTCGTTAATCATGATTAAAAATGATTAGTACTTTAATCCCGTATCTTAAAATAGGGTAAATTACAACCACCTCGCTACGGTAAAGTCTAATTACCAAAAAGTCCATATTTTTATGAAATTACATCCAAGTTCAAATTCCTGTAATTTTTAAATTTCTTACATCCATCCCTACAAGAGGGAAAGTAAACGAAATAGGGGCCTGACAAAGTGACGGAGGCGGCTAGGGAGCGGGAAAGTGTCCACTGGAGAGAGTGTGAAAATATTAAAATAAAGAAAGAAGAAAGAATGGAAAATTACAATTTTTACGCCTCATATTTGCACCGATTTCACATGTGGTCCTCCATGTTAAAAAAAAAAAACCACTTTTGGTCACTCATGTTTCAATAATTTTAACATTTTTGGGTATTTCCGTCAATTTACCGTTATTTCGTCACTTAAGGCAATAATCTGCACACACTTGATTCTATTAGTACTAACAAAAATTTGACGAAAAAAACTAAAACTGTTTAATTTTTGAAATATGAGAGACCAAATGTGTTTTTTTCTAACATGAGAGACCAAATGTGAAATCGGTGCAAAAATAAGGAATGCAAATTGTATTTCCATAATTTCCACAACCCTTTCTCTAGCAATAATCTGTCCAATTAAATAAAAAAAAAGTCCCAAGTAAAAAGAACAATTTTAACAAGAACAAAATCGAACATTTATTTGCTAATAATCAAATAATGACTGCACTTGGGTTTTTAACATTCATGTACACATTTTTCAGTCCTTACACTAAAAAGCCCTGCATTTGTGCACAACTTCCTATCACTCTGCTAAACGAAACCCAAAAGCAAGTATAATTGAATATACGTAAACAAAAATGCAAGCTAACAGCAAAATTGGGACCGAAAAGAATATCAAGAAACTAACTCACTATAAAAAATAAAAAATAAAAAAATGAAAAAAATCCCGATGCATCAAAAGCTTCCTGGGATCAGACTGCAGCTAAAAATCCACCGCTTTGCCGTTGCTGTATAAATGAAGGTGTCTATAGACTGTTTCTGAAATGAAGTGATTAGATTTGGCGAATATATGTATTTAGAAAGAAAAAAAAACGTATAAATTTCCGAGCATGCTATGTGATGAGTCAGAAGAGTTGGAGTGCCATCTTCATTTTGTTCTGTTTCCATTTAGGCAATTTGTAGAAAGCGTTCTTAGTCATCTCGAATTTATCCTTGAATTCTTCTGCAGACAAATAAGTCTGCAGAACAGAAAACGTCTTAATATATATAAAAAAAACGTTAACTAAAGATATATACGAACTAAAAGAATTAATCCTGAATGCAGTTAATTAATTAATACCTCTCGTTTAGTCACATCAATATCTTCAACGGGATCAGTTGATGAAGTCGTAAGACGATCGTATGGGTGAATTGGAAGCCCCTCTTCATCCTCGACTTCACCTTCAGTTACATCTTCATGTATAGTGTCTGGCTTCGGTTTCAGTTGTTCTCCCGAGTTTTCTTTAGAAATCGCCTCGGATCTTGGTTTTGGTAACTCGGGGCTCACTGAAAATGATCGAAAGCAAAAAGAAAAAAGAAAATAAGAATCTTTCAAGAATGGAACAGTGAGAGTGCACTTTAGAGGATTTGAATTTGATCATATAATTTACAAAATGATCATTTCAAATTAGTTGAAATTTTTTAGAGCTAAAGATTTTGAAACCCATTGTTGAATGCAAACAAGAAGCTCAATGGTTTTTCTTAGGGTACCTTACAACCACCCACCTGAGGTATGGTCAATTTACGAAAAAAACCCTCTTGTTTGGATAATTACATCTACCCCTCCATTATGATTTTTTCTTACCCTTCCACTCTTATGGTGTAAATTTCAACATAATCATCTAAATTTTGTGGAATGTGCTCTAGTTTGTACTCGTTTTGTGTAAAAATACCGCTTCTGATGCACCACAATCTGATATATACAAGCCAAAAAACACATATTATGATCATCTTGCTTCAAAATGTGGAGTTCGAATGGGATAAAGTGGGTACAAAAGTGATAATATTCCATATAATCTCGAAGATTCCACTAAATTTGAAACCGCAAGGTGGACGTTTAAAAAGATTTATAGTTGAGGGGTGGTTGTAATTACCCAAGCAGGAGGGGAGTTTTCGTAATTTGACCATACCTCAGGGGTGGTCGTAATTTACCCTTTTTCTTATTATGATTGTGGTTCTAAAAAAAAGTTGAAAAAGGTTATATATATACCTCTAAGAGAACGAGGGATAATGAACTGTCCAGCAGATGGTTGTTGAAACTTTGATGTTAATGCAGCTATAGCTGCCGATCTCGAGGCCTGGCTATTAGACGAATCGGAATCTGGGGTGACTGATTTAGGGTAGAGCTTTCTCACCATTGGAGGAGGAGTTGACAAATTCCTCAAATTGGGACTTTCGAATGTGGAAGCTATAGCATTGAAAGCAGGGGATCTTCCTCTTACACGAACTCGATCCGGGGTGCTAAACGAAGACACACTTCTTGAACGCTGTGCTTTTTCCGGTGCGGCTGATCTTCCGCCAAAAACGGGTATTCTTCTTCTTGGTCTCTATAATTTGGCATACATATAAGAAGGAAGAATAATTTAGAGAACAAATAGAGATTTATATCAAATGTTGAGTTAATATGGAAACGAAGAAACTCACATCCAACACTGGAGTGCCTCCGTGTTTAAGAATAGCAAGCTTTCTTTGGAAAGAGTTACCATGCATCTGTCACCATATATAAAGTCACTAAGTTATCTCACAAGGCATCATTTGCGAAGAAGAACCTCAGGTAACTATAGAGAGAGAGAGAGAGAGAGAGAGAGAGAGAGAGAGCACTTACTGCCGATTTTTTGGAGTCCCAAGTGAAAAAACGAGTGAAAAACGACGGTTCACTCCCTTCCATAACAACATATATTGGAGCTTGCATGGACAATTTCTCGAGAAGAAAATCACGTTCCAGAAATTTCTGTTAGAAGCCAAAACATGTGAAAATTGAACTATTTTCCATTTATTAACAGCTTGACTTTAAAAATGAATCGAGCAAACTTAATATAAAACATACCTCCCCCAAACTCAACGCATTCATCTTATTCTTCGACTCAACCTGTTGCCCGACCCAGACATAAATGTCTGAGTGGCAATCAACAATGAATATATCCTCAGTCATTAGATCATCCTGGTTGAAATTGTATACCTCTGTGACCTGCGATACAAATTTTTAACTCATCGTCTTGGAGGATAAACTATTCATTGAAAAAACGAAGGCAATAAGAACTGAAACACACACCTTTAGATCTCCTGAACCCAGGGTCATATTCAGCCATAGTTTGTACAAGGAATGATGAAATAAACACGTCAGTTCTATATATATATATATATATATAAACAACGGAAACAGTGTCTTACCCTTGGATAGAGTGCACGAGAATAGATGAGGATCACTTTCAGCCTCTCTTTCGATTTTCTGGTTTAGGTACTCAGTTTTTCCACCTAACAATTCCCAAAACTGCTCGGTTTCTGATCCTTCTTTTTGAAATTTAGACTGCATTTCTGGCTGTAAATATAAAGGGTGACAATAACGTGGAGTCAATAGAAATGCTAACATTTTCTGTACGTCAACTCGTTCCCTCACTGACATAATATGCAGTAAGATGCAATAATGACACTAATAACCAAAATATCACGACATCTGCATTTTTAATTATGTAATATGCTAAGTAAATATAGTATGTTATCACTGAAAATACAGAAGACCTTTATAATATCCAGCTGCCTTTCTACGAGCTCCTGGTCTTCAGGTGTTGTAAGATTTCCTAACCAGGTAAACACAGAGGACCCACTGTGTAGTATGTAACAGTACGATGAATTCAACGATGAGGCCACCTGAATGAATTAAATGACAAGTTTTAATTTTCCTTCACTACAGATATAATAAGACAATAAATAAGCGTATAAGACTTACAGGTTCAACTTGAATCGCTTGCATATTCTCCGGTCCACTTCCTTGAACTCGAAATAATGCAAGTCCCTCCGCGGAATATGTATCGTCTGAAAGTTCCTTTTCAGCTATGTAATTCTTATATCCCTCACTAAGACCTCCCTGATGTGCAGATAAAATTATATTGTCGTAACATTGATTAATAAAGATATATGAAATTTATAAGACGAAAGGAAGATAAATTATTAAAAAAAAAAACTGTTTGTATATTGACAAACCTTAAGTACGATGAAGCTCTGAAAAATGGCGAAGAACTGGATTGGTTCATTGCCTTCGTAAATCCGAGCCTAGAAATGCGCATAACAATAAAAAGTTAATATAAACATAAAGACAGAAGCATTAATAAACTAAATACAATCAAGCTATCGAGTTATTTTGCCTGAGTGGGTAAGAACTTCATTGCCTCAACCATCTTGCTAGCCTGGGAAGCTGCTACAACCCTATCCTCCTGTAGAACATACATAGCGTGATCAATAATTCTCTTAGTAAATTTTTAATAACATTTATAAATAAAGTATGCATGACTGTATGAATTGTTTATAGTTCATTTACACTGACAGTTCGTATTATACTGACAATTGTTAAGCACCACTTATTCAATGATTTTGCAACAAGATCTCATGACTGGAAAGTAACTCGTAAGATAATTCTAGTGAAATGACTTCAAAAACATATATAAAGCCTAGGACACTGAACATGCTCTTGTTAGTTTATTTTAAACCAAAAAAATCTTCGTTTTGGATGCTTACGCATGCAAAAAATCCTTAAGGTAGACTACACTTACACGGAAGTTTATGATAAATATGACAATAAACACTCTTTACATTCTTCTTTAGTTCCATAAAGTGGCTGTAGGGGTAAGAGAAAGCATTCTAATTTAAAATTCAAATTTTACTAGCAGCACTTCAGTCCTATTAACTATTTCAAATAATTCAGCTGATTGTACAACAATAGACCGTTATTTGTTTAAAGTTTTGCAGAATAAGAATAGTCGTGCAATAAAAAAAAAACATATTAGAATTAGATGAATTTTCTTCCTAATAGTTAGGAGTGATAAATTTTGTCCGTGCAAAAAAAAATGTTAAGCAAGAACTCAAGACTTCACCTCAACACTTTGCTTTCCAAACCATGTTCCTATGAGATATTCTTCTTTTTCTTCCCCGGGATAAGAGTATTGAAAGATATAACAATCTCCACTGTAAAACTTTGACTGGTCAGAAGCTTCCAGAAGAATCTTCTCTTGACCATTCACACGCCAAACCTGGTCCATGTAAGCAGCAAAGTAATAAATCAATACAGGGTGAACCAAGGAAAAAATTAATTTATAATTCACTATTAGTAAAAGGAAGACTATCAACAACAGAGAAACGCATTTCTCATTAATGTAATTGAAGTATATTAATTCATAAAAGTTCTATAAAAATGGCCAAGGTAGCATTCAACAGATCTCTCGGAATGAATTCCTTGGATTGATGGTTGAAAGAATCTTGCTTTCCTTTTACTTCATAATAGAATTCATGCCCAAATAGAGATGGTTATTTTCAGACACACTAAACACAAACAAGCTGCTTTTTGCAGTCACCTGTAAATCGCCTGTGCAGTCTATGTATGGTTGAGGCTCTTCTTTGGGAGATTCTGTTTTCACAAGACCCTTCACATTAACACCTTGGCGCTTTAGAAGTGCTATAACACATCAAAATAAGAGCAGAAAATAAGAACGATGAGTATGAATAATGGATAATTTTGAAATTAAAGGCAACAAAAACAAGTACTGGATAAAGAAATTGATGTTCAAAATTTAGCACAATTCTGGCATATATTACTGACCTGCGACCTTTCCTCGACCATCCTGAGACGCAGCTGCATTGGTCGATTGGGGCCAAGAATCAAATTTCGAGCGGAACATCACCGTTTCAAACCCCTCAATTACACGGATAATATGACAATTAGGTCTATCAAGGCTACGCAATAATTCCTGTCATTCCAAAAGCAACCGTTGAGTTAAAAGGCAAGGATAGAACTCGAGAAGTAGTAAAACCAGCTAAAACTTACATCAACAGTGCTGCTTGCAGCTTTCCTTTCCTCAAGAGGAGTATTTCTCCCAGTCCAAACAAAGACTTCCACCCCACAATCAAGGATATAACATTTATTTGTGTCTAATAAATCTTTTGTCATAGAATCTGCCTCGACTGGTACTGCCTCTCCCTTCTCAACACTTCAAACATTAAAGACGGCTGTCAGCCGTCAGCACACTAACATGTCAAATTATAAATATGGTTCTCATCATGTCAAATTAAGCAAATGTCCCTTTACTTTTTTAGGTGAAGCAAAATGTGAACTTCCAATTTATCGTATGTTAATCGATGCAGACACGATTTCTGTGACTAATCCCGGGAAGAAAGTATCACTATCATTTTGTAAATATTTTGCAATGTGTATGCCGAAGACCAAAGACGTGTATAATAAAGTCGAAAAAAATGACTAAATATAGATGAGATGCATGTGAGAGATACTAGAATAAGCATCATGAGTGGAAGAAATTAATACCAGAAAAGCGTAGAAGAGATAACACCATTGCTCTTCGGTTCATCAGTGTTTGCTTTCCTTGGGAGCGGAGCAAAGCCACCAAAGAAGCCCCAAAATTCTCCAGCCTCAGAATCGGCCATTAGTTTTCCATCTTCTGCAGTCAAAAGAAACGGCAGCTGTAATGCAAATATGCCTCGGTAATTAACATACAAGAACGTGCAAGTAGTAGCATAATTACCAATAGATGCTATTTCACATTTTCCGTCATGATACGTATCTTTAACATACTGAACAACTTCAAGAGCTTTAGCTCTCTCTTGAATACATGAGTTGGAACCATTGAATTGAAAAATCTTAGACTCTGTATCGAGAATAAATATGTCATCGTGATTTAGAGTGGATCGAGCAAAAGGCACCTGTCCAACACCAAACAAAAAAATGTTAACATAAGAGATTTGTATTAGGATGATGAACTATTAAAAAGAGGAGAATGAATAGTACAGCTTGCCTCTTTCACATGAACGACGTGCTTTCCTTTACAAACAAACAAACGGGTCTGATGTTTTTCAGCCTCAGCATGCTTGAAGCCTGAGGCAACTCCTCCTTCTTGAGGTATTATACATGGTTTAAAATACGAGAGGAACTTCTCTGTTTCATGGCCTTGTAATTCACGATACTGAACAGCACGCCCGCCAAGTGCCGCATCTAGTTCAACTGTCTTGATGGCTGCAGTGCCAGCTTCGTCCTACACAGGAAAATACATAGATAGTTAGGTAATTTTTAATTTTTAATTTTTTTTTGTAGGAGTGGCTTAAGTCATAGACAAAAGATAACATAGAAGACTTACCTGACTGGTATCTTTACCTAGCCAATAATGAAGATCGTGACGGAGGGCACCACTCTTCAGTGCAGTTGTCTGCAAAAAGGAGATTAAGTACACACTCAGACAAACTCGTCTATTATACTTGTAATAATAAAGTGACGACGTTCTCAAAACGAAAGACCACTGCATATAGCAACAGCAAAAGAGCTCAGTAATCTCTGTATTATCTAATTTGACTTTTACAATTGCTACATTTATGCTTATCCTTAAAGTGCAATGTTTATGGTCATTGAAAAAGTGCAAAATGACATCATGATAGAGCAAAGACCAAAAATCAAATACATAGGTACAGTAAAATGTAGATAAGTATAGCAATTTGCACTCCAAAGGTGGCCTCTTGTGCTCCCTAATCAACATAGTTCCGAATGAATTTTTTAAATAAGAAAAACTCAACAGTACCTTCAGAATCACATAAGAATCCCCGGTGAAGAATTTTCCATGTGAAGAATTTGGGACTCGAACAGGATGAAAATTTTCGATTCTCCATATCTCAATGCCACTAAACTAAGTCAAGGAGGCAAACATGTGTAGAGTGATCATAAAACAACATAACTTAAGAAACAACTGCATGTGCACCTATCAGGCTGCAATTTCAACTTCGAAGTTCGAACTATCTTATTGACATTGTATTCTTCTGAAAACTCATGTTTCAAAGATAAAAGAGCAAACATCAAACAAACATTATAATTGCAACTTAACTATGGTGTATATGAAATTTTATCATGTTAGAATAAGGATACGCCTTCTGTCCAGCTCCTTGGAAAGCTGGATCCAAATCTCTCGATGAAACAGACATACTGTTTCCCCAATTTCTTTAAAGCTGTCTACTCCGAAAGTTGACCTGAAACAATAATGGGGAAAACATCAATACTTGTAATTAAAAGGAAAACACCAAACCAGAATAACAAAATATACAATAGAACATTCGGAGTCAAAACATCGGAGACAAGACAACGAGCCAAAACAATAGTATGTCACTAATATAACAGCAACTTATAATGGTCATAGAAAAAACAATCAATCAAACGATACAATGTTTTTCAGGAAATATCAGTGCATGTGCAATGCTTAGCACAAACCACATTGCATTGTCACTTAAATTCAAAGACCGTATCTTACTACCTATAATATTCTGTGCCTACTGCCTAGAGTGAAACACGTTGAATGAATGGTCTCTAATTCCGGCAGGAAAAAAGAAAACAACTGAAATGTCTAGTACACTTTATCCAACTATATCCATGTTTGATTTTATGTCCTTTCGTTTCTTCGTCTAAGGTCGTTTCTTAGGCCTGTCGGTAAAATGCTAGATAAGGTGTCGAAATTAGACTAATATATCCTAATTCCGAAACAAACGACATGGCACAGAGCCTTAAATCAGCCCAAATCAGATTTCATCTGTGGGAGATCACTCAGCCCTACTATCCCTTTATACACAATTCAATTTTGCCGAAAATAGCATTGCCTCAAACAAACACATTGGAGTTTCCAAATGAAAATGATGGCGCCCATGATCATCAATTCCAACCTTTTTTCAAAGATTAAATCAACCAACAAACTAGCACAGGCGTAAAAATTCCGTTCCCACCACCCCCATAACACGGCATTACGAAATCAAATTAGGCATTCAATCCGACATTAAAATCTACAAAAATACGAACGAAACAAGGAAGAAAACAGCGAAAAACTCCTTTATACGCCAATTTTACCTTATATATATCGAGAATTGATAGCAGTCCTCAAGCCAACTCGAAAACGAATCAAACGGATCCAATGCAATCACTCCACTCAGCTTAATCGAAACAAAAATAGAGTGACGAGATTCAATCGGAAAGGGTCGTGCGTCGAACAGTGAGAAAAAAAAAATAGAATTTTGACGGACACAGAAATTTTCTGATGAGAGAGAGAGAGAGAAGAGAGAAAGATGGAGAGAGAAAGTACGTGTATGTGTGTGTGTGAGTATGTGTATGTGTGTGTGTGTGAGAAAGAAATGGAGGGAATGGTGATTCTTCGTTGCCCGACAGGCGTGCCCATCACTAACGGACGCTAAAAAAAGAAGCTTAACTTAGTATAAATAGAAATGAACTGTAAAGATTTCGGTAAATTATAACAACCACCCCTGACATATTCTAATTATGAAAAAACACCCCTCATGTTTGGATAATTATAAATACCCATTAATTATGAATATTCTTACACGTCCATCCTTATGGTGTCAAATCCAACATAATCTTCTAGATCCCGTGCAATGTTCTCTAGTTTGTACTCATTTTGTACAAAAATAATGCAGTTTTTTATGCACCGCAATCTGATATATACAAGCCAAAATACACACCTTATGATCATCTTGCTTCAAAATGTGGAGCTCGAATGTGATAAAACAGGTAAAAATTTAAGAATATTCCATATAATCTCGAAGATAATTTGATCATACATTAAGGGAGTGGACTTGTAAAAAAAATTATAGTTGGGGGTTATTGTAATTACCCAAACAAAAAGGGTTTTTTTTCATAATTTGACCTTACCTCAGGGAGTGGTTGTAATTTACCCTAAAGATTTACTTCTTTTTATTTTGAGTAATACCCTAAAGATTTTTAACGAGCCTCATTAAACAAATCAAGATTAATTCTACTAAAGGAAAAGCTAAAAGGAAATTGAATAAAATAAAGAGTGTTTTAATTTCTTAATATTTGTTCTTTAAAAAGTATATTGGATTTCAATTAAGTAAGGCATTTGTAATATCAAAAGAAATTCAGTCGGGTGAGAAGACAATGATTTGAGAGAATAATTCGAGAATTACAATAATATTTGTTTATATTTTAAGATGAAACGAGAAAAACTGTAGCAGTCAGATTATGTTTAAATGTGCTGAAAAAATGTATTATAGAAGAATAATATGACAACTAAAGTATGTTAGTTCATTTTTAAGTGAAGATGCTTTTATATGTGGATGAGAGAAAAACTTTAAAACTGTTATGAGGATTTTTTTTCTTAAAAAACTAAACCAACACAAATTCATTTCGGGAAAAAATAAAATAAAAATGAAATTAAAAACATAATCAAGCATTGCAATGCGACTTTCCTATCGGGGTGGTTCAATGGGAAACTGAAATTTTCAATAGAAGTTAAGGGTTCGATGCGATTAAGTGTTGGATATAATCGAACTTCGTTAGATATTTATGTAAATTTCCAATATCGAATAACTCTAATTGTAACTGTATACAAATATCCTAAGAAAGGATAAATTTAAATTTTCTTTTTAGTATGTGTAATAAAATCGACCTAACGACTGTTGAAAGAAAATTCGAACCTAAATTAATTGACGAATGTTCACTTGCTCCAATTGTTACGATATTTATTGCGGGACAATTAAAGTTGATATTCAATTTTATTGGTGTGAAAGAAAAGAGTGATGGGAATGGGGTGGGAAGGATGATAGGCCATGATTATTGCATGACAATAAAAGTGAAATATATATATATATATATATATATATATATATATATATATATATATAATTTATATATATCTACCAATCGAATAAACATTATTGTAAACTTTACTTGCAATTATCAATATTTTATTTTTTAAATGTTATTACTAAAATCGCATAAAGATTAAGAAATCATTGAACGTACAGTTTGACTCGTCTGGCTTATTAAATTTTGATGTTTGTGATTTTGTATTAGTTTCAACTTTCAAATCAAAATCAACAATCATGATTATATAAGTCTTATGTCAAAAAAGAAAGATTATTTAATTCTTGATTGCATTATTATATTACCTAGCTCGTGACTTATTTTGATATATTATATCAATAATGTTTTAAATAAATAAAAGCATGTTGAACCCAAGCAATTGATTTAAAAGATAGCATTCAAGCAATCTTTGAAAATTAATAAAGTCTAATTGTTTACAATTTCAAAATTAAATCGAAAATTCTCAGATTTATTAGGTGATGACTAGTGGTGCAAGTTGGAACGGATTTTCCAATTTCCGTCGGTTCCGATCCGAAAAGTTCCGATTTTTGAACAACTTTTTTCATTCCGACTTCCGAAATTCCGATTTCCGAAATTTTCCGATTTTTTTGGATTGGAATTGGAATTATATAAAATAAATTTAGAATTTCCGATTTCCGATCCGATTTAATTCCAAAATTAATTCCGAAAAATTCCGATTTTTTTCCGAAAAATACATCTATAAATAGTATATATTATATAATACTTATTTTCTGAAAAATACATCTATAAGTTTTGTTTTGAGATTTTGACATAATGAATTGTTGTTAGAAATTTTATTGGATATTATGCTGTGTTTATTTTTATTTATTTTTTTTGAACTGAAATTTAGTAGTTATTAGTTTTACTTTTATCGACGTGGATGCTCTTATTTTCGAAAAATTATGAACATTTTAGAAAATTTCGGCTAAGTTTTGAAATTTTAAAGCTTATGTGATTTCCGATTTTTTTCCGAAATTCCGAAATTTCCGGGCCTTTTGGAATTGGAATGAATTTTTAGTTTCCGAAAAGGTTATGTTTGTTAAGCTTTCCAAATTCTTTTCACACTTTCCCCAAAATGAAAATTATCTTTCTACACTATTTTCTAAAACTTTTCCCAAAACAAATTCAAATATTTCTCTCTCTAACAAACATGATTTGACCGCTACAGTGAAAATTGTCTTCACTAAAATACAAAATCAAATCACTTTATCTTTTAAATTCTTCTTCCAAAATACCTTTTCCCAACACCTTTCAGACATGATTTGACTTGCTACATTACAAATTGTCTCCTCCCAAAACACAAACAAACTTTATTTAATTTTCAAATTCTTCTCCCAAAACATCTTTCCCCAAAATAAAATGGAAATGGAAGCCCAAAAGCTTACCAAACAGAGCCTTGGAATTGGAATTTGAATTGATTTTGTACTTCCGAATTTTTTTGGAAATTTTCCGAAAAGGCTAATTCCGATCCGATCCATCCGACTTTCAGCCCTAGGTGATGTTTCCAAAAACTTATTTAAAAGTAGAAGTTAGTGATTATGAGTCAAGTTGAAATTAAACGCTTATTTCTAAAAGTTGGGGTATTTGCAAATTTACGGGAAATCAACTACTTAGAACACATGAGGGTCATGTGTGCTTTTGAAATTATAGTTAAAAACAACTTATTTTGACGGAAACAAAAGCAAAAGCTTGTTTTGCAAACACCTAAAAACATGTTATGTGCAGAAAAAAATTCATAATCTATTTTTAAAAGTTTTTGCAAACACCACCTTAAATTGGTCAATCAAAATAGGGTAAATTACAAACGTCCCCCCTGTGATAAGGTCTATTAACGAAAATAACCCTCATGTTTCCATAATTAGATCGACCCCCTGCAATTCGTACATTAACACCCTCTTGTGGGGGGTGAATATAAGAAATTTACAAACTAGAGGGGCTAGATGTGATTCCTAAAAAATAAGGAGCTTCTTTTTGTAATTACACTTTAACTCAGGGAGTTAGTTGTAATTTCCCATCAAAATAATATATACGTTCATCTTCAACACTGTTCTTCCACAGGGACAAAAACCTCGACTCTTAAACCTCCATAATTTCCATGAAGGAGCTGCCGCGTCTTCCATCAGCATAGCTTTCTTTGTTACCGATTTTGACCCTATCCCCGGCGATCTTTCCGTTTAGCCCAACTGCGAATTTTGTTTTAGCTACCAGTTGTGAGTTTTCCTCTGATCTGCTCTTGATTTTTCTGACAGTTTATTGGTTGTTCTTGTTCAAGATGACTAGAATATTCTATGTTGATGATATACATTTGGAAGATGATTTGGGAAGTTGATGGTTGGAGTACTTTGTTTAAGCTCGTGGCTGATAATGAATGCATGTTTAGTGTTCGACGAAATGTGTGAATGATGTTCATGTACAGTTTATTGTTGTCAGATGTTAATATGTTTATTTTTATGGATTCAAGATTAGTTCTTGGGCTGGAAACTAGTCAACAGACTAGTGGTTATAATTTTACGTAAATATTTGATTTTTCAACTAGTCTAGTATTGTTGGCTCCCTTTGAGAGTTGTATTGTAATCTATTTTTTTTGTCCAATTTTTACGCCCTGTTTTCAGACCTTGTTTCGTTGTTTGTAGTGACTCAGCCGAGATTCTCCGAATGACAAAGCATTGAAAGATGATGTGGTTAAGGAGCAGGAACACCGTCACATATTTGGAAGCTGTAACAAAATTCTCAAGATCGCAATGGCTTTTGACATCCTGCTCTTATTCAGACATTTCGTGCAAGAAAACGAAAATGGCACCACTACAGGTAAATTAGTTACCTCTTTCTCTCTCCTCTTGTATGCATTTTGTGATTTGCTATGAATTTACATCACCTCAGATACAGTACTAAGTTTTCATTTCTTCCCTTTTTACATATTTAGTTTTCACTGATATAAGTTGTTAGTCTTTCTGTATATATGCTGACCTATCTTTTTCTGGTGTAGGAGCGGAGAATGATAGATCGAATCAGGCTATGGGCTAAAGCAGGGGATGGTGGAAATGGTTGTTCCAGCTTTCGCCGCAGCCGTTCAGATCGTCGTGGTAAACCTGATGGTATGTTATTTATAAATTTACTGTTTATTATCATCCTGGATTTTAAGTCGTGAGATTTTTCCTAACTGATTTGATGTTCAGCCCCTTCATGGTGCTTCTTTAATGTGTCGGAGTCACCTTTTCTAGATTAAAAAAAAAACAAATTGAAAATGAGTAATAGCTTCATTATTTTATTTTTCTCATCGGTTTTTAAGAGCATATACAGGTTTCATATTGTATTTTACTATAGTAATATTCATGGTTCCAGTTTTATTGCAAGGTCACGGCGATTTTGCTGCTGGAACAGACACTTCTATCGAAATGCTAAAAGATCAGATTATTGTTAAATAAAATTAGAAATTTGAAATCACGATTCAATAAATATACAAATTATTATTACAACCCCAAAAATAACATTACGCCAATCTTGCATTTTGCATATAAACTATGACATTACATACAATATTTAATACCACGTGGAATGCCCAAGTGGTTCAACGTTTTCAACATTTTGTCTTTGAATAGGTAAATAGCTTCGAACACGCTCATGAGATGATAAATAGGAATTTTTTGTTATTCCTTTTGTTTCAGATTGAGCTAATGAACCCTTTTCATCCATTATATGTCGATCAACGCACCAAATTATCGACTTGTTTAACCTTTTCATATATCAAGGAGCAAACTTAAAAAAACTATGATTTGCTATGTCACCCGTTTTGATTAACGGTGCAATGCAGGTGGGAACGGTGGAAGAGGTGGTGACGTCATTCTAGAATGTTCCTCATCGGTCTGGGACTTGAGCAGTGTGCAACACCATATTGTAAGTTACACTGCTTGCCTTCATATTTGTGGATTTTTGCTTATGTCAATGCATTTCATCTGTGCTTCCTTACTTATAAAAAATGTTGGATAAATGGTTCTTACTTTGTCCCAGAATGCAAAGAGAGGAGGACATGGGGCCCCCAAGAATATGATCGGAAGTCGTGGTGCTGACAAGGTTACATTTTTTTCGTTCACAAGTATTTCAGCTTCAATCTCTTTATCTCTCTAGCCTATAATTTGTCACTGGTTTTTAAGTGTAGATTGTTCTAGTACCTGTTGGTACTGTTCTTCACCTTCTAGAAGGCGAACTTCCGTCCACAGTCGAGAAGAAATCTTCTGGACCCTTGGATCCATGGGATATTCCAGGCACACTCGATTTCTCTTCCGAAGAATCTTCTCAACAATCTCCCATTGACAAAACAAGCGTCAAGATCGAGAAGAAAGACGAGGGCCCCGCTCCTTCAACTAAACAAACCTTAAACCGATTCCCTGCGTCAACAGAAGATTCCCAAAACGAACCCGAAACTAATTGGTTCAGTGAGGCACAAGGGTTTAGCGAATGGGACAATTTCGATGGCAAAACGGATATTTCCGAACCAGAGTCGGACGAAGAAGAAGAAGAAGAGCAAATACAATATAATGTTGCTGAATTAACAGAGCCCGGCCAAAGAATAATCGTTGCTCGAGGAGGTGAGGGTGGCTCAGGGAATTTGGAATCTGAAAAAGTCTATCGGGCCCACAAAGACAACAACACAAATGGGGACAACAAAGAGTTATCCGATGATGACGTGGCGCCTAATATAGGCACGCCCGGTACTGAAACCATTCTCTTATTGGAGCTCAAGAGTATTGCTGACGTGGGCCTTGTAGGAATTCCGAATGCAGGCAAAAGCACTCTTCTCGGTGCACTCTCAAGAGCTAAACCTATAGTGGGGCATTATGCCTTCACTACACTAAGGCCTAATTTAGGAAACTTAAACTACGACGACCTTTCGATTACGGTGGCTGATATACCGGGGCTTATAAAGGGGGCCCACGAAAATCGAGGACTTGGGCATGCTTTTTTACGGCACATTGAGCGGACAAAGGTGTTGGCTTATGTGGTGGATTTGGCTGCAGGGACAGGTGGCAGAAAGGGTGTGCCGCCATGGGAGCAGCTGAGGGATTTGATGGTGGAGCTGGAGTTTTATAGTGAGGGGCTGTCGAGTAGGCCTTGTTTGGTGGTGGCGAATAAGATTGATGAGGCGGGGTGCGATGAGGTGTACGAGGAGTTGAGGAGGAGGGTTACGGGTGTTCCGATATTTCCGGTTTGTGCTGTTCTTGATGAAGGGATACCGGAGTTGAAAGATGGTCTGAAGTTGCTTGTGAATGGGAGAGAGTTATGTGGACTTAGTTTGGAGAATGTTTTAGTTGATTAAGAGCGTAGACATGATTTAAACTTTTTTTTTTTTTTTTTTTTAAATTTTTATGCACGAGAAATTACGTAATTAACTAAATTCAGCTTTTCTGCTTTAATTTCTGAGTGGGTTAAATAAAAAAAAAAAATCTTTTCTTTCACATGATAGTACTCTGGTGAGTTGAATGGACTTTAACCAAATTGGGATTCTTTTGAGTCTAAATTGTTGGAAAATCAGATAAATGGTCTTTCAATTAGATACGGGATTACAAATTTAAAATAGAAAATAATAACTAGGACAAAATGCACTTTGCCCCCTATAAATTTCTGTTTTTCACACTTTTCTCCCTAAAAATTGAAAGAATGGATATTCCCATCCGAAATATTATATTGATTGCACTTTGTCTCATAACTCAATTTTGGGCATTGTGCAACAAAAATAACATTTTAAAGGGGGAATTTGCAAGAAAATAATGTTTTTAAGGGTAACATGCAATAAAAATAACATTTAAAGGGGCAACATGCAACAAAAATACTCAATTCCGATGAACAATCCATTGCAATTTTACTATCGGGGCATTTGTTCAACAAGAATAATATTTTGAAGAGGGACATATACTTTTAAAAAAATTGAGGAAGTAAAGTGCGAAAATTAGAAATTTACAGGGGTGATGTGCAATTTTCCCTAACAACTAGCACAGTCCTAATTTTGTGGGACGATAATTTAATGCTAGATAATCCTAACTAACTAAAATCCTATAAAGATGGGTATCCTAAACCAATACTACCTCTTTAATAAATAAACTATAAGAACAAAACCTAAAATAAAATTTTATATATATACCCTATTATGTATTACACAAACACAAACACAAACACATTCTACGAACAAAAGAAATAAGAGAAAAAAAAACATTAATTCTAATGGCCACCATTAGGCCGAGCAATTTACTTTTCTGGTCAGTTCTCGCCGTCATCGCCGCCACAATTTTGGTGTTAACATCCTCTGCCGCCGGCGATCAAACGCCGGAAATAGCCAACAATAAGTCGTCGGAATCGGTAGCGAGCGACGAACCGCTGGCGGAAAAAGGGACGAAATGGAGCGCTAGGAACGTGGAGACACACGTAGCATGCATGAGGAGGCGCAATGGCGCTAAGGTGGAAGAAGCCCGTAGAACCGGTCGACTGTTGGAGGAGATGATTTGGAACGATGTATTCAGACTCTCTTTTGGATTTGTCGGTGAGAATTACGATAGGACCGGTCGACTATCGGAGGATTACATTGAAGCCCTTAGAATATAATATAATTACAATCAAACCCAAGTAGATATCAGTATTTCCGAATTCGCCCACAGATTTTGATTTTTTTTATTAATTTTTTTTTATTTTTATTTTTTATTTCAAGTTAAGTTAATAAGATCATCCATGGTTTTTTTTTTCTCTCAGCTATTTCATCAAGCGCATGTTGAAAGGCAAAAATAAATATGAAAAATCGAAATACAACAAACGTAGTTAATTGCGTCACTTGTGAAAGGAGTTTTTTACAAATAGTATCTTTGTGAAATCTCCAATTGCACAAAAAGTCCCTGTGAAATAAAATATCACTGAAATCCCCCTCCCTACAAACTTTTTTGACTAACACACTCGACCAATTTGAAATTTATCCGTTGACCAAATAAAAAAAAAAGTTTATCGGGATGTTCGTTTATGTTTTTAATGGGAATTTTTAGTTTTCAAAATTTCTGATGGAAATAGTAGATGTATTGGTTTTTGTGTAGAAAATGGGAATATGTTTGGATGAAGCGGTATTTTTAGTTTTATATAGGTGTAGAAATGAGAAATTTTCTCTACGAAAGTACGTGCAAAAGTAGATTATTATTATTATTATTATTATTATTATTATTATTATTATTATTATTATTATTATTATTATTATTATTATTATTATTATTATTATTATTATTATTATTATTATTATTATTATTATTATTATTATTATTATTATTATTATTATTGGGATGGAAGAAACTGGAGGTGATAGAAATATGTCTTGTTATCAAAATCGTACTATTTACATTCGATTTGTATTTGAGTCGTTGAATAAATCGTAATTTTAAAAAATCGTACGATTTACATTCGATTTGTACGATTTACGATTCGATCTGTACGATTTTCAGCAAAAAATATATTTTCAGAATAAAATTACAAAAGTGTGCTAAAATATTAGATTTTAAGTACAAATACAATAATATATAACAATTCGTCGTAATACCAACACTTTTTACATCTTATAATGACTATTTTTCTTCTTTTCATATTGTTCATCTGCAATTGTATTATCTTTAAATTAATAATATATTTATTGTAATTTACAACTCTAATAACATTTTAAAGTAGCAGGTATATTTAAGAGAGTTTTATTCTTAGTTTTTTTCAATGTTATATTTGATTTACTCGGACACACGTCAATTGCCATGCATTGACAAATACTACAAATTAAATGAAATTCTTTTGATATTAAACTTTTTGTTTTTATTGTGTTAAATTTTTGTATAGTCCATATTACTATTAATTTTAAATATTAGCATATTAATCGTATAACCTTGTGTTTGATTCTAGATTTCTATGCAACAATCAATATATATATATATATATATATATATATATATATATATATATATATATATATATATATATATATATATATATATATATATATATATATATATTTATAAATATATTTAAATAAATATATCATATATATTGTTATATTGCTAGCAACATACCCACAAGTATGTGCGGGGGAGGGGATATAGCTTTTTATAAAAGAATCTAACAAACACATATTCTCAAAAAGTGTGATTTGTGGGGTGAACACGCTATAACAAGAGCAAGGGGGGGGGGAAAGAGACACACACGGACTCTAAGCCGAAAAGTTTTCTCTAGCGGTTTTTCTGTGCGGGGATATATCTATATAAAAAAGGGTTTGGGGGGCGCACATACAAACATAAAATTTTGGGCGAAAAAAAACGCGA